TTTATCTGCGATTAATGTCTTGGTCACCTTGACTTTAGTAGCACTTTAGGCAGTCATGCGCAACTGCTTCATTTGTGGGCAAGACCTAAAACTATTAAGACACTTTTGGAAAGGAGCAGTAGATGAGGGGTGGGAGGAAAGAAGTGTCGGCTGTCTGATAATTTAATTGCCTGCTAAGGCCTTTATTCCTTATAGGTTGTCATCAGTAATCAGTGGAGCTTATTATTGAGAGCGTATGGGTGGGAAAAATATTTTTACTCTCCACCGATAATACTGCACTAGTCATTCAGAAAACTGTACAAGATTTACACCATCATATGTTCATTACTCTTGACTCAGATACTGTAAAGAGTGATTTATATTCAAAATATGTGTATGTGAGAGTGAGGTGTGTGTGTGTGTGTGTGTGTGTTTCCTGACACATCTGCTGCTGTGCTTAAGGCCATTGTTGTCCCTGGAGGCTGGCAAAGCATCTGCTGTATGAATGAACGTATGTGTGTGTGTGAAAGCCTCTGGGAAAGACAGCCTGCATGTCCAGTTGACGCACCAGCTAAGGAGTAGCAACCATTACACCATACACTCAACCCTACAGGTCAATCAGCTGCCTGAGGATTGGTTCCTTGATTTGCACAATGGTAGAGTACCAGATCCTTAGCTTTACCTCTTCCTCTTGTTGTTCTTCTTGACATAAACATTAGCTTGTCCATGAGCTGCAGCTGAAAATGCTGGTTGTCAGTGAAGCAACACAAGGAATAAGACTTAGGCAAGAAGATGTGAGCCCAGTCCAGAGACACAGACAGTTTAGTTTTCTTTCAAATCTGATAAAATCTCTGGCACAGTGTTAGAAAGTCTAAGAAAAGGCGATCGATTAATCTGAGATGAAATTAGGTCCTCAAAGAAATAGGCAGTTAAATGAGGTGATGAGTGATGTGGGACATCAATATCTGACCACTTAAGAAACATTTGGTTAAAAGAACTGTGAAATAGAAAGCACACTAGTTTAGTGCCTGCATCTCCTTTATGTTTTCCTTTTTTAATCAGCTCAGCAACTGTCTTTAATTTACTACTCAGCCCCTCAGGTCTGAGGTACTGAAAATTCTCAAATCTTTTTTATCATTTATGGGGGATATTGACTATTCTGCAGGTTCAGCCCTTGGGGCTGTCCTGCCCTAATCTTCTCTAATGTACACTATTGCCTTGTTACTCTGCAGGACTTAAAACACTGATGTCTGCAGATAACCTTAGTTCACTGCTTTCTGCTAATGCAGCAATCTGCCCCATGCTGATTATCCTGTTACCCAGCAGTAGAGTACACACATACAAATGCACACACATATGCCTGCAAACACACACAGCACAACACTCAATACTTGCAATGCCTTGGAATTTTTTAATATCGAAACCTGCCCCACAAACAAGTGCAAACTGATTTCTGCAATGCTGCACTTCTAAATAGTTTCCTGTTTGATGAAAGGCCAACAAGTAACTTCACAATAGAAATCTGAGTTATATATTTATGGTTAATTTGGTGCCCGTTGAAGTAGAATATCACAGCTGAAATCTCTGCTAATTTTCAGCACTTTGTCTACTGTTGATGGCATCTTCATGGTGATAAACACAGACAGTTTGGGTTGTACACGTTGAACATGTTGATGCATCATTACTTTTGGTTTACTTACAGCAGAAATGTCCACCGATTCCACAGTGAATCCTGTAGTAGACTCTTTCATTTAAGGAGGAGACACAGAATCAGTCCACTCACCTTCAGTGCAAATGCCATCCATTTGTAGGCCATTAGTGTCCAGCCCTCTGGTTTTCATCAATGAATACACTCAATACACTCAGTGTGCTTTATTTATAATACCTACAATACCAAAACTAATGACAGAGATAAGCTGAAGCCAAAGGTTTCACACAGTATCTCAGTTATATTGGTAGATCATCAAATATATTTGAAATTATTAAGAGCTTTTTAAACTTTGAATATTGGAATTTTCAGTGATTTCTAATGACGTGCATGACATTAGCACATGTATAAATGGTGAAACAGTATTTTTAGAAGCATGAAATGCACTTTAGTGATATTTTAAGTGATTATCACTTATTATTTGTAGTTCTTTTTAAATATGCGTCCATGTAACTACATTTGTATTAATGGTTCCTGAGAGCTTTATACATTATTGAACTGAATAAGGTTCGATTTGCCATAGAACTTGTGCTGAAACATGGTTACCATGCATGTGGGGTAACAGCAAATTAAAATGTGTTAAGCAATGATAAATATGGAGACAAAGTTGGTAAAAACTGAAGAAAACAAACCTGGAGTCTTGAGGGTTCAGACTGCTACTAAGCCTAAAACTATACATCATAGTATAGTCTTAGGTTTTGAGTTTTATACGTGTATATTCATGTAAGTGAAAGTGTCCACTAGTAATGGGAAAGTCACAGGGCTTCGCAGAACATAAAGAACCTATTTTCAGTTACAGTGGTGTTTTATGCATCTTTATTCTGCAGAGATTCAATTACAACAACTAATTATAAAATAAAATCATTGGTTGTGTCTGGGTAACTTCAAGCATTTCTTTTCACTATGAAAGGTCCTTGCTGTCTTGGAGCTTGTGTCATTAATAGATATGTATGTAGCTATCAGGCAGACTAGTGACATTTACTTAATGCTGTTACAGTGTAGTAGGCTAATTATCACTGACATGAGAAGAGACAGAACAGACAGAGTGTATGCAAGACATGCTGTAAGCTACTAGCCTGGTGTATTGTTGTAAATCAGCAGCCAGCTGTGTGGCTTCTCATATTGATACTGAACATGAGCTTGTTTTATATTTCCTATATTATATTAAATTAAACATATATCTACATATAATTGTGCAATGTCGACCATAAAGTTCTATGTCAGTGAGCCATATGCATCAAATGACTAGCTGTGTTGCAGAGAACCATCACAAACAACCCTTAGGTCAAATATACCACTGTCAAATGACAATCAAGGGACGTGTGGACACAGCAAAGGATCAGACAGTGACTGAATATCTTTATGTAATTATCCACACAATCTGCATTTAACATCTGGAAGACCGACAGTGCAAAGAAGCCAGATTTTGCTGTATTTCCAAACGCGCTGACAGTCAGTGTAACGTGTCTGCTCATGGCTGTTCACAGCACAGATAGTTAGATATGCTTGCCATTTTGCACAAGTCATAAAGATGGCTGACTCTCTCTTTGTTCATGTTCTCCTGTCTGTCTTTCTCACAGAAAAACATACTGGCATGCACTCGCAGGTGGGGCAGGAACAGTTTTACAGCGGCGTGCTGCTCTATTTTAAGTCTGCTTCACCTAACCCGTTTCCCTGTTATACCTCTTACTGTCACCTGTCTCCCACTCTGCTTTTACAAGCTCTCTCCTCATTCGCCTCATTCAAAGACATTTATTTTTACTCCTACCAAGGAAGCATAAGTAACTTTTCAAAAAATTTCTCATAATTTTATGATATTTTTCTTCCCTACCTCTGTGTCTACACCCACCCTCTCTCCCTGAGCTCTTTTCCCAGTCAATACCCTCTGCTAATATGCTGGTTGCTGTGGTAACTAGCCATGGAAGGCAGGTATTTTGAGTCCTCATTAAAAGATAAACAATAGAATCTCACTTGATGTGTGGATAAAAACTAAACTTTTCAGGTGCATATTTCTTAATGCACAAGTATAATATTACCTGTATTAAAAGCCACTGTAGCTGACATTTAGCCCCGTTGTTTTAATTTACCTGAGGCCAGATCCCATCTGTCTCTCTTTCTTTAGTTGCCTTGGGTGGCCCTCTTGTTCTTGGAATAATGCATGTTCTAAGTAATTGTCTCCTCAGCATAGGGAGCATGCACAGCCACTGCATTGTGCCATAAATACCGGGGAGACCTATGTGCAGGCTTTTCTCACTCATTAGAAAGAGCTGACAGTGCAGTCCTTAACCCCCAGTTCTCCTCCGCAGTGCCCATGCTCGATCGACACCAGAAAATAACAGTACAGCACACCAGTCTCGCAAAGGCCTTCAAAAGCAGTTGCATCTCTCTCTAGATTCACCAAGCCCTTCAGACACAGATTTTGTTAAGTGCAGCAATGATGCTCAATGGGAAGTTGACCCAGTTTTTAGAAGATGCCACTATTATGGTTCAGCGTGAACAGTACAGTAAGATGCTTGGTATTGGCACCGTTAACCAGTCGCTTCTATTTAGCAAATTTGAGGTAACTGACCTTTTCAGTATCTCAGCTTCTTAAACAGCACCTCTAAAAGCTCTGCAACTGTGACACTCATTGATCCATCCTGTAATATGGTGCCTTCCTCTTCGCTCACTTGATGTCCAAGTGGGTAAGAGCAACATTCAAAGAGGCCATTGGTACAGCAATGATTATAGCAACAAATAACAGATGATAAAATATGAGGAAATAAAAGGCAGAAATTAATATTAGCTGAAAAATACTAATAATAAATTGACACTCTTTTTTAAAAGAATGGATAGCAATCACTGCTTAAGCATGTATGTGCTGTCACATGCTGACATCAATGAATATGATCCACTTCAGCTCAGAAGTGAAGATGGGCTGAAATCACTTTCATATTCTGACAGCCCCTCCTGTTATAGTCTCTTTTGACTTGTGCATGCATGCTTTCTAAAATGCAAGTCAACCATCCAACAATGTTGTTCAGTTGTCACAGCAGCTGAGGGGTAACAAGTCCAAACACAATCACATTTATTCATGTTTATATTAGCTCAAACAAGGGATCTTGGCCTAAAACCGATTTTCTTTCTGTTGCTCAGAAATGGTACAGGTTGAACTCAAAGTTATTCTGTCAATGTCCAATTAGACTTGCACTCATTACATTGTCAGAATCATATTGAGATACAATATTTCCTCAACCTCTGCGCATTTGCTCTTCATTAAATGACATTCTCCCTTTCGACCCCCCCACCCCCACACCCCGGTTTCTCTCTGCAGGATCCTGCTGACTGTGGTGGTGATTTTCCGTATCCTAATAGTTGGCATAGTGGGTGAAAAGGTGTACGAGGATGAGCAAATCATGTTCATCTGTAACACAATGCAGCCGGGCTGCAACCAGGCTTGTTATGACAAGGCCTTCCCCATCTCGCACATCCGCTTCTGGGTCTTTCAGATCATCTTGGTCTGCACGCCGAGCCTGTGCTTCATCACATATTCTGTTCACCAGTCTGCTAAGGCACGTGACCGAAGCTACTCTCTCCTGCATTCTCACACGGATCACCATGGCCACGGTCACCACGGTCGCCATCATGATCATCATGCTCGCAAGCTTCATGCTCGCAATATCAACGGCATCCTGGTGCACCCTGACAGCAGTAAGGAGGATCATGACTTGGATGTCAAGGAGATCCCTAATGGACCCCGGGGACTCCCTCCAACACACAAGAGTGCTAAAGTGCGGCGGCAAGAGGGCATCTCCCGTTTCTACGTCATTCAGGTGGTGTTCCGCAATGCGCTGGAGATGGCTGGCCAGTACTTCCTGTATGGCTTCAATGTGCCAGGGATGTTTGAGTGCGATCGCTACCCATGTGTGAAGGAGGTGGAGTGTTATGTGTCTCGTCCCACAGAAAAGACCGTGTTTCTGGTCTTTATGTTTGCAGTGAGCGGCATATGCGTGTTGCTCAACCTGGCTGAGCTCAACCACCTCGGGTGGAGGAAGATAAAGGCGGCCGTCAGAGGGGTGCAAGCCCGAAGAAAGTCCATCTGTGAAGTGCGCAAGAAGGATGTTTCACACCTGTCCCAGGTCCCCAACCTGGGCAGGACCCAGTCTAGTGAGTCAGCTTATGTCTGACAGAGGCTTCTCTGCCTGGGGCCCCCAAGACTGATTTTTTCCCTGGCCCAGGACCCTAGGGCACAAAAGTCACCACTGCATTATTATCCAGGAGCACAGACAGACCCTCTATAGTCACGATGAAGCATTATTAACTCACAAAGTACAGACTCTGACACATCAAGAGAGAAGACCCACCTTCCTTAAAAAGCAAATTTGTCGCTGTAACAAAATCTACACCTAAAACTTATATGACAGAGAGTTCTGCTCTGCCTAGGTGACACTAGGTGCCTTCAAAGGACCCACCAGATAAAACTGAGCAATTATGAATCAAACTAAAGCACTGTAAAGATGGCCTGAAGTTCAAATTTCTGATGTTTTTCATTATTTCTCTTTGCTGTAGATCAGAAATAACTCCCTCATTTTCCAGTTATGTGTATATGCAAGACCTTAAACGTGTGCATGGATATGCATGTGTGTGAAAGCTAGTCTCTGACTTTGAGAAAGAAATGTGAATGCTAAAATAATTTAGGCTAGTGGGAGAAAGATAATTGTGTCTCATTGTCTACTGGCTTTGAGTAACGCCACTGAACAGACCAACAAGCAGCTTTTAAAAACATGTTCTAAGAAACTTACACATTGGCCAACAAAAACACCAACGGCACTTAAACTATCAGCATAAAACGGAACACAATATTTGCTGTCAATGTACCAGGCTTTTTCTTAAAAATGGTCACTAATCTTGATATTGGTTGCTGCTTTAGGTGCCAGTCAGACTACAGAATGACATTGCCTGGAAGCTTTGCTCCAAGTGACAAACATGGTGCACTGAAGATGAGTTAGATCTACTTTTCAACACTGTGTTATGCACTGCAGCGCTCCAGATGCCTGTGAGGCTCACTGTTTACTCTCAAAACCCACTGAAATGTGTGCCAGTGTTTCCACTTTAGTTTGTAAAGTGTAATTTCTGGGATGAATGGAAGTACATAAAGATTTTTTCAATTTAGCAGGAAGAATATTGTAGTCACAAATATTTTAGTTTTTTGTTACAAGATGATTTGGTGCCATATTGTACATAGATGAAATGTAATAATTGATTAGCCTTTTTTTTTATTTTATTCTGTATAGGTGGGATTCACTTGGATGGGGGAACAGGGGTGGGTGGTAATGAGTCATAGATTGCCAGCTTTAACAGTATGTATTATTATCATGCTCTTTATTACGCCTTTGCCCTTTAATAGAGACTGTATGTTCCCCTATGGACTTTGAAAAAGGCATGTTACTGAAACATAAATAGAATGAATAGAGTATGACATGTACTTAAAAAGAGACTTTTATTTATTTGCATCCTGCTCCTGTGAAATGTAATACTCAGCATGCATAAAAATGAAAAATATAGAGACATGAACATAGAACCCCACTGGGGGAATACTGAAAGTGAATAACTGAAAGGCTCCAGAGCTGCAGCAATAATAATATATAGTGTATGAAAAAATATGTGAATAAATTATTATGCAACAGTTATTTTGGCTGTGCTGTGGTTAACAAGCAAGTAATAATTGCTGTTGCCTTTTTGCTTTTACCAGGATGTTGTATGGTAAGTATAAGCCAACTGTATTATTGTGGAATCCTGTCTCTAATACCACTAATAACACAAGATGAAAATACTCCTACACACACGACACCATACTTAAAAAACAACACTATTATCATCAAATTGTATTTAAAGAATCAAAAGTAAAAACCACTCCATATGCAAGAAACGATTCCCTCTAACTATTATATTGTGTATGTAGACTTTTACTGTTTTAGCGGTTTGATGTGTTGCTAATTTAAATGTGCGTCACATTCAACTGGATGGATAAAGCTATAAAAAGCATCATATTGTAGATGTTTATCTTAGGTTTTGTATCTAAATTTTTTTTCTGCAAAATAATAAAAGAATAAAGTAGAGTTTAAAAGTATCCTGTCCCCAGAATGTAGTGGAGCAGAAGCAAAAAGTAACACAAGATGGAAACACAATGGAAATGCATTTAAAGTACAAATACCTTAAAATGCACTTAAATGCAGTTTCTTTACTTTCCACTGCTGGTGGTGTACAGAGCAGTGTGGTATTACTGTAACAGGAAATCAACTGTAGGGGACAGTATATACAACACAGGTTGCGGGGTATAATGCAGTTCTTTCAAACCCTGCTTTAATATTTATTATTCAGCAATGAGAAATTATGCATCTCTGAGAGATGCACTCTTTCAGCTGGTGTTGAGAAACTGTGGATATTTAAACTGCTCACTTCCATATAAACCTCCTGGCTAAAGTAAATTCATAGCTAAACTGTAAACAATAACTTCTTCTTGCAGTTGTTTTGATAACTTTAATGTTTTTGTGGTGAAAATGTCATTTTTACAGAGAGATTCTTTCTCTGTTGTTTCTCAGGTTTAAAGTAAGTTCTAGTGTGGGCCTGATCATCTATGAGTGAGCTTTGTGAGGGAGAGGAGAGGCACAAACCTTTTAGTGTTATTAAACCTTCAGTTGGTGCAGTCGGCATGCAGCCATGTCCTGGGAAACACTGAAAACACAGTGGGACTAGAGGAAGAGGGGCAAGGGTATTGGAGTGGTGTATTAATAAAGTTGATTGTCTGATAGGGTGAATGGTGTGGTAATTCATTCACTTAAAGGCTGCACTGTGGTCATTCTGGCATGAGAATACAGTTGCTGTGATTCACTCTATGTAGAGTGTGATACGTATTTACATCAACAAAATCTCTCTCTCTCACACACACACACCCACACACACACACACACACACACAGAGGGGTCGCACATGCCTAAACAGAAGCTCTGCTGAGGATGCATCCAGGCCAGTTGCTGTGGTGACAGCAGGGCAGTAATGATGTTAAGCACCACAGGGACCACAGTAGTGAAGGACAGAAACGGCACTGCACCATCTGCCGTCACT